TTTCTTTCTTTCTTTCTTTCTTTCTTTCTTTCTTTCTTTCTTTCTTTTTTTCTTTCTCATCTTCATCTTCCCGTACTCCCTTCTGAACCTTGAATTCTTCATTGATTTAGCTCAACAACTGCCTCTACACTGAATAAAATAGTGCACGGACATGCTGTCATCTCTTCATTGACAGCCTTCCCTTGGCGTCTCTTCACTTTTTAAGGCCTGAGAATTATTATGTGATTTCCTGCTCTTCTGTTCACTTATACTTAAGAACATTTTCTTGCTTCTTTCTGTTCATTGTTTCTATCTTCCTCACCCCCTATACTTTGTGCACACAATAACCAAACCCACATCCCCAGACAGCCAAGGAACAACAGACTCTTTTTGTTTGTTTTTAAGTTTTGGTAGTATAACAGTAGAACATGTGGTCTTCCATATGTTAAGCAAGTGCTCTACCACTGGGTGACATCCCTAGTCCCCTAAAAAACGGCTGGAATTTTCATCTATATCGAAGACAGAGTACATAACGAAATAGAATAGATAAACAGGGTTAAGGAAAGAAAATTAGAGAATAGGGTTGCCCTGGAGGGAAGGAGAGAAGAATCCATGATGTTTTACATGTGAGTCACATTAGAAGGGTCTAGGAGACCTGTTGAAGAGTGACATGAATCATTTGCGGTTGTGGAGACCAGTGGACTGATACACAATTTAGACTTCACAAATCTGGGAGAGGTAGTCCGGCCAAGACTAAATAGATTAGCTGAGGTATTACTCTGAAGTCTAACCCTCTTAGAGTTTATCAGAGTTGGGAGGTCTGGTAAACACATACACACACACACACACACACACACACACACACAGACACACACACATACGAAGTGTGCTCCCTTAGGACCTGTGAAAGTATCACCTGGAAACCTGAAAGGTTCCAGCTGAAGGAAACCAGCAAGATTCTTATGGGCTACACAGAGAGTAAGGATGTAGATGGAATAGAAGCAAACCTGAGGTATTTGGAACTGTTAACAAGAAAGGCTCCTTGGGAGGACAGAGATTGTGGAAGCCTGAAAGTGTTCCCCCAAATGGAAGGTCTTCAATGACTATTGTTGAGTATGTGGATACCCCTTTAGACCTGCACCCTGTTCATAGTTGTTTGAGCTTAACACTAATCTATGCCATGTCCTCCTCATGTGGACTAAAGGGGTATACAGCTTTGTATGTGTCTCTCCAAAGAAAAGGTGACTTCATGGCCTGACAGGACACAGTCTGAAAGAGCTGGGGAAAGAAAGCATGACATGTGTGGCAAAGCTTCTCTGCAAAGAATAGAAGGATAAAGCTCCCAGTCCTGGCACATCACATAACAAACCCTGCTAGGCAAACACTAGGATGTGGGCTCCAACCTCAAGAACCCATGTAGAAGGCCAGGTGTGTTCATATGCACACTTGAAACTAGTGCTATAGAAGAGGGAGACGGGAACTTCAGGCTCCAGCCTCAAGTTCTGGGAGAGGCTTATCTCTAGTGACAAGGCTAGGGCTTGAGAGAGCAGGACAGCACACGGCCTGTCTGGCATCTGTGAATATACAGGCACACAGTCATCTATATGCTGCACATCTACACCACAGGAACACAGAAGCAAAAGCAGTTTTGTTTAGAGAAAAGAAAGGAAAAGGATAAAGTTCCCATGGAAAGCACAAATCACTTTCTGGACTCAGTCACGTGGAACGTTTGGGATGTTAGTTGGCCCTCCTGTTTCACCAGTGAATTCTGCCATCTCTTTTCATTTTAACATGGATACTCATTAGAGAAGGGACCTTCTCTCAGAGAAGGTCATGGAGGGAAAGGATCTCAAACTGAGACATAAGAATCACTCCAGTGTGTGTTTGCTCATCATGGAGAGGAGGAACAAATGGACTCTCATCCTTTTATGATTCCAATTTCTTTTCTGAATGACAGTCTTCTAGGATGTCTCTGCTGAATTCTGCTTGTTGTCATTAAACATCACCAGCATCATCTCTCTTTACAATGAACAGTGGGCTAAACTATGAGAGTTTTTATATGGCATAAGACAAATTTATCATGCAACTATTGTGGCATATGCCGGTAATACTACCCCTTGGGGAGGTAGAAGCAGAAGAGTCAAGGGTGATTAAAATACAGGCCAACCTCTGCTACATGGTAAGGCCAAGGCTGGTCTGAGCTACGTGAGACCCTATCTCAGAGATACTAAAGATATATTTTTTTTTCAAAAAGTTCATTCATAGTCTAAATGTATGTAGATATACAGTGTGGGAAATAATTGTGTCTTGATATTTAAAAATGAAAAGTAAGAAACTCATTTAGTGTCACTGTGTGCTGTGGTAGATGATTATTAATATAAACATAATGATTTCTAGTGTCTCCAGTGAACAGTTCTGTTGCTAAGCAGGAGGACGTAGAATTGCACTGTGATTCTTGTCTGATTGGAAAAGTATTGTGACTGCCTCATCTAGGTGCCTTTCTTATTCTCTAGAACTCTTTCTCAATCTCCCCTCCCCTTTTTCTTTATGCCTCTTTATTGAGAGGAGCAATGCCTGATGGGTTTGTTGTTGTTGTTTTTCCTGGTTTATTTTCATGCTCTTCAATAATAATTCC